TGTCATTTAAACAATTGTAACTCAAATAGCATACTTTGCAATGTTAAATCACAAGCTAAACTAAAACACAGTATCAATGCAACCCAACATACCAAAACGAAACATCGACACTGTAAAAACATCAAAAACTTAATTTAGCGAAATTGAATTAAGACAAATATGCATATGCTCTCTCTTACTGCAAACTCTCAATGTGATTAAGCAGTAGGTAAATGTATCTATAACATAGTAGGCAAATCATAGAAGTTATATATCAACTCACTTTTGCAATTCAAAATTTTTGTTCCTCTTTTTGTCACAAAATGACAGGGGGCAAATCAGAAACACACAATATCACAATAATGTAGGTATAATCAATCACAAGTAGATGCAGTGAGCAGTAAACTTTCCCACAAAGCCAACTTAAAGGACCCATGGAGTAAATGACATAGGTGACTCATATGTGGTAAGTATGACTCCAAACCTTAAATTTGTAAGAAAGGACATGCGAAACATCACTGTGAATAAGTATATTCCTCTACTAATGAAAGTCAAACCGAATAACACATTAGAACCTACATATGAGAAGCTCATTTCTAAGGAAGAATTTATTTTCTCCTCCTGACTTACTGCACAAATATTTTTCTTTTATCACATATGTCAATAAGAATAGTCACATATTTTATTCATCTTAAGTGCAGGCTCCTTTCCATTAACCGACTAGCATAACCCTTGTAACGAGGTTTAGGCCGGTTAACCCAAGTCAAATGACCATAGGCACCAGGTTATGAGAAACTCCGCAGGCTTAATTACTCAAGTCAAGTAGGCTTCGAAAAGAAGCATTAAGATATTGAGACCCTTATGATTATTTTTCCAGACATACAGTGATTCATATAGGGGTAATATCGAGCTTAGGTCTAAAACATGGTCAATTCATGTTCAAAGTCACCCTACTAACATGCGACAGCCATCCCAAATCTCACGCGCGGTAGAGTCCCACAGTTAAGATCATAGTGTGTGTAGTGCAGATGGTATATGAAGAGACTTATATGAAAAATTTCATCAGCATCCTAGGCTAGCAATGGAAATTATATTACAGCTCACCAGATAAACTCACTCTTGATTAGAACCAATAAAATCAAGTGTATTGTATGTTATGCTGTAAACCTAATATCCAAATCAAACTTTTTTTTTTCGAATAAAAACATGAATACTCTAAGCACACAAAACATAAAATAAAATGCATGAAAACAAGTAAATAAATATGATGCATGCATAACAAAATGTCATACAATGGTAGAATATGAGCATGCATCAAATAGACTCAGTCAATGAGGTACACAAATACCAATAGCTGTTCGAAGAGAATTAAACCGAAGACCATCCAACGGTTTAGTAAACAAATCAGCTAATTGGTTCTCAGTACAAATATGTTCAAGATTCACAATTTGAGTTTTTACAAGTTCTCGAATAAAATGATGTTTGATATCAATATGTTTAGTTCGAGAGTGCTGAACATGATTTTTAGAAATAATAATAACGTTGGTGTTATCACAAAACACAGTCATGGTACTCTGTTCAATCTCATAATCACTTAATATTTGCTTCATCCAAAGCAGTTGAGTGCAACTTCTTGCCGCAATGTACTCAGCCTCGGCTATGGATAATGATATGGAATTTTGTTTCTTATTCATCCAAACAACGAGATTAGCACCAACATAAAAAAAATCAGAAGTACTCTTTCTGTCATCGGCATTACCAGCCCAATCAGCATTGGAGTAACCAACAAGATCAAGAGTAGAGTCCCTAGAGTAGAGGATACCATAATCAATAGTACCATTGACATATCTAATAATACGTCGCACGATGCTCAGGTGTGATTCCTTAGGATAGGCCTGAAAATGTGCACATATCCCTATACTAAATGATATGCCAGGTCTACTTGCAGTGAGGTAAAGCAGACTACCATCATACTTCTGTACAGTGTTTGATCAACACTCTTGCCGATATGATCTAAACCTAACTTGACACTAATACTCATAAGGGTTCTAGTGTGTTTCTTGTTGTCTAACTCAAAATGCTCGACAAGATTCTTAACATATTTCGATTGAGATATGAACAATCCCTCATCAGTCTGCTTGACTTGAGGACGAAGAAAGTACGTTAATTCACCAATCATGCTCATCTCAAAATTCTTACTTCATACACTCAGCGAACTCATGAGCAAGAGAATCAATGGGAGACCCAAAGACGATGTCATTCACATAGATCTGAGCTATGGTGATTGTATCCTCAATTCGTCTTATAAACAAGGTTCTATCTGCACCACCTCTCGCGAAACTCTGTTCCAGAAGGTATGCAGTAAGCTGATCATACCAAGCTCTAGGAGCTTGTGTCAGCCTATACAGAGCTTTATTCAGTCTATATATATAGTGAGGATATTTCGGATCAACGAACCCTTTAGGTTGTTCCACGTAGGCTTCTTCATGAAGAACACCATTCAGAAAGGCATTTTTGACATCCATTTGATACAATTTAAACCTCAAGGAATAGGCAACCGCAAGAAGAATTCTAATGGATTCAAGCCTAGCTATCGGGGCAAAAGTTTCGTCAAAATCAACACCTTCAACCGAAGTGTATCCCTGAGCAACCAACCTAGCCTTATTTCTTGTAATGGTACCTTGATCATCCAACTTATTCTTGAATATCTACTTGGTACCTATAACATTGCAATTATCAGGCCTAGGCACTAAGTCCCAAACATTATTTCTAACAAATTGATTTAACTCATCATGCATTGCATTGACCCAACATTCATCCCTAAGGACTTCTTCAACCTTCTTTGGTTCAATCAGAACACTTTTGCGAAGTCTCATTCCTTCTTCTATATTTCCAATCACGTTATCCTTAAGGTGATTCAATTTGATTCTGGACGAAGATTCTTTAGATGGTTTAGCTTCATTATCCGAAATAGAATCCTTAGTTGGAACAACCGACTTATTTGATGTTTGTTGGGAATCAACATTCAACTATTCCAGCTCAAC